ATTTCCCTTTACAAAACCCATGACTCTTCCATAGCAGATCACATGTGTCCATGTGGCTGCTGATTTTATTCTTTGTTATAGAATCTACCAACTTTCCAGGAATGGAAGTGAGATTCACTGGCTATAGTTCTCAGGAGCATCTCTGGAGCCCTTTTTAAAGATGGGTGTTATGCTGGCAACTTTCAGATAAATGCCATCTGGTCCTAGTAACTTATTAGTATTTAACTTAATAGGCAAGTGGGCCAGAGTCCTTTCTCAGTTATGCCAGTGTAAATATGGAAGAACTGTTCAGCTCACAGAGATTGGCTGGCTGTCAAGGGTTGTACTTTGTTACCCTAGATATTGAAGCCCAGCTGAGTTTCAACACTTTTTTATAATTTGCAGTAGCTAGTTGCCAGCAGCTGGCTTGTCTTGAATGTTGTGATATACCCTGCGCTGTTTCAGTTGTTCTGTATGCGACTTTTTAGAATATCTAGTTATATGACTGTCTGCGTAGGTAAGCATCACAGAAATTTTGCTTGTTTACTTTTAGTATAGGTACTGATCTGTCCTTTAGACTATGCAAACAACTATTCAAATTGTCAACTGGCAAGTTTGGTGTTTTCCATTGCTTGGCAATATAATATGCACACAGTGAATTGGAGAGTTGTAATTCACTGTCTGCTACTGACTTGCACCATTTCATGGAGATTACACATGCACGTTGCTCTCAGCTGTGTTTTGAGTTAAGCGAATATCTTATTTCTACCACAGCTGACACACAGCGCTTGAAAAGTGCAGTCCTCATTAGTAATGGTTCTTGTTGAATTTTGCTTATCAGGTAGGTCTCAAACTTTTTTATTTCAAAACTGCTTTACAAGAATGAAAAGAACAAACTCCCTGTCTTTGGCAGAAAATATATGTGCAGAATAATTTTTCTTACCCAACTGAGAATTGTCCTTACGATTTCTCTATTAATGTTTAGTGTGACTTTCCTCCAGTTTCTGTGGGCTGCTGAATATCTTGGAGCTTGGTGTTCTTACTTAATTTTGGGTTATGAAGTCAGTATGCAGTGGGTTTTTCCTAAACTATCCTATTTCAATGTGTAACCCTATAAACAGCTTTACAATAGCTGTGTGCTTTCAAAGTAGATAAATCTATTCTGTGAATTTTGAAAGTAATAGCATATGTTCAGATTTAATTGGGATTATGAAAAAAGGCATATTTTAGTGTAAAAATAAAAAATGATAATTTATACAATGTATTCTGTGTGGTAGAAATAAATTTGCATTTAGAGATAGGATGCACGTTTAAGTTTTGCCATGCACTAAGCTACATAATGTAACAGCTTGTGAATGACTTATCTTGGTAGTTAGCTCTAAAATAACATTTTTTCTTAATTTTTAAAAAGTTCTTTTAAAGAAATTGCATTGAAAAATACCAATTAAAAGAATTTTTTTCAGTTCTTCTTTTGAAAAATAAGGTTTTAATTTGGCTTAACATCTCTCTAATTGAAAATCTTTACATTTTATAAATACAGCATACTTGTAGAATTGGCTCTATTTTTGTCCTGCACATTGGTTCCTTAAAGATCATCCTAAAACCTCTGCAACCCAAATTACCATTTTGCATCTCATATATTATCTTTTTTGCTTCAAACCCAATAACATAAATTTGTATTTTCTTTTCTTACAACTGCATATTTATTCAAGTTGGTTTAAAATTGCATCATATACCACCAAGATACTCTATAATTTCTCTGTAACAAAATGGGTCACATTCTACTAATGAACTGCTCAGTATGAGCATCTGCTTGAAGATGAAAATAATTGCTTCCAGATGTTATCCATTTCAAGAAAGGACATTTACTTTAAACTGCACTATCAAATCAAAAGTTAGACTTTTTGCATCCAAGATAAATAGTCATCTGGCATAAATCAGCATAGTTTCATTGAAGTCAGACTTTAAGTAGGTAGCTTTGCATCTGTTTTGAAGTCAAAGGATATACACCAACTTCTATTAGCTTTAGAACAAGTTGTAAAGATTAGTATGAGTTGATGATAAAATCGTTTGGTGCCAAATTCCTCCTTGCTCGCATTGAATAACAAGTAAAACTATTTAAATCAATATAGGACCACAGGAAGAATAAGGCATACTCACTGCAGGAAATCACTGTGCAAAATCTTGAATATGTAGGGGAATGTAGCATACTGCTTTCTAAGGTCGGATGGTACATGCTTGTGGCAGTAGATGGGTTTCTGCTACAAGAATTGCTTCATTTATTCGGCAGTGTTTCTGCTGAATACTATAGCAGGAACCCTATAGCAGGCCCTCTGTAGCAGGAACATCAAATTGAGTCAAACCAAAAAAGAAAAGGTTATTTCTATTCATGAAGAATGGAGTCTGCTAAGTGATGTTTTAAGATAAGAACCTCAGCAATTTCATTTTTATCATTTTTTCCATGGCACTACTTGTTAGCAGCAAGTTTGAAAGAAGGTCAAATTCTTTTTGAAAGCAGCCTTTTGCTTGTGTTGTATTCAATATGGGAATTAGCAGTTGTGATACTAAAGCTGCTCCAGATTGGGATGCTATACACCTGTGGACAGTGATCCTTTACAGGTTGCTGAAGGTATACTCCTTTATTCTTGCTTTTCAGGAAGACTGAAAAGCTAACATCATTTATAAAGATAGCTTTTATAATATATGACATTTCTAGATCTCTGCTTTGTAAACACAACTTTCTGGTGTAAGGAGCAGTCACTTAGTATAATTATATTTGATGATTGTTGGAACAAGGTTTCTGAACAGAAAGACAATTGAATTTAGCTCAAAAAAATAATTGAACAGACAGAGATGCAGTGCTCTGAGAGCTGCATAGGCAGAGGCATAAAGTACAATTCTTGTTCTGAAAGTACACGTTTACTTCTAGGGTTATCAGTCTGACACCTACCTTGAGAGTTGGGTCAATCCACAGAAATTGAGATGCTCTTTCATAAATAAATACAGTTAGCTACACATGATCTTTCACATTTTTATTTTTGTTTCTTTTTAATATTTTGGGAGGGTGGACCATTTATGAACTTGGAAATCTAGTGGCTTTTCCTTTTATCTTTCTGTGGCGCTCATTGAATTCCAATATCCAGAGAATCCATGAGGCTGTTTTTCTGTTTATTTTCCTGTCTGTGTCCA